AGCACAATCACCATCTTTTAGTGAATGATAATGTAATTCATGATGGATGGTGTCAGTGCCTTGAAAGAATGTTATAATGAAGCAAGCACAACAATGTTCTGTCTTACTTCCCTCTGAGTCACCATTAAAGGTTATGCTATTTCATAAATTCCCAAAAATGTTCTTGATACGGATGTGTGCATCATCACTGTTAGTAGTGCTAAGAAGAAATCTGTTCCCAAATGACTTGATAAACAGTGAGTGGCATAATATTAAATTTTCAAGTAAATCCTTCTGTATGCTTCCAACCTGGATCACCAGGCCTAGGAATTTTTTTCCCCTTTATTCATTCACAGAATGAGGGCGTCACTGTCTAGGCAGCATTTATTGCCCATCCCTAATTGCCCAGAGGGCAGTTAAGAATCAGCCACATTGCTGTGGGTCTGGAGCCACATGTAGGCCAGACCAGGTAAGGGCATTAGTGAACCAGATGGTTTTTCTGACAATCAACAATGGATTTGTGGTCATCATTAGATTCTAATTCTAGTTATTTATTGAATTCAAATTCTACCATCTGCTGTGGCGGGATTCGATCCTAGGTCCACAGAATATTATCTGGGTCTCTGGATTAACAGTCCACTAGGCTATTGCCTCCCCATGTGGTGGTACACATAATGGTGTCACACCTATTTATGAGTTTCAAGGGATCAATGTATTAAAATTGAGACTCATCATACAACCTCCTGTCCTAACCCAAGAATTCACAACTGCAAAACTCTTCAAAACTTTCTTTAATCTATAGTCGATGTTAAGGGTGCAAGTCCAATCTTAAAGTAGCACTTCAATTCTTGATTTCTATCATGTTAAGCTGTATTGTTCTGGTGGTACTGCATATAATGGGCCTCAGCCCTTCACTTCAAGCTCTCAATACAACAAGAGACACAGCTCTGGCAACCTTCCCTAAAATCACTTTCCGCACTTTCCTCTTTGCTGCTGAGACAGATTTCGCCGATGAAGGTATTTTTTCTACTAGGATGATGCGGTAAACAGAATGCTGGTTTACAAAAAAATTCAGCTGCATTAAATCAGACACCAATTATATTTTGTCTACAAATTTCAAATAAGTCACAACGCCCTTGTTATGTGCAGTTGATAATGTTTTTGTCAACCAATCAGAATCTAATAGGCAAAAGAAGTTGAATGGTATATTGTTTTTATAATTTTAACTGTTGGCTTGTTAGTACTGCTAACACTTTAAATAAAACCAGTACTGTCGCAAAATTAGGCTTAGTTATGTGGCTTGTTTCTGTGAAATGAGGATGTTATGAAGGAGAAAAGACTTGTTATATAACAAGGTGTAGAACTGGATGAACATAGCAGGCCAGGCAGCATCAGAGGAGCAGGAAAGCTGATCCAGAAGGGTCCAGACCCGAAACGTTACCTTTCCTGCTGCTCTGATGCTACCTGGCCTGCTGTGTTCATCCAGCTCTCCACCTTGTTATCTCAGACTCCAGCATTGGCAGTTCCTACTATCTCTTGTTGTTATATAATATCTTTTATAAACTCAGCAATTCCAAAATGCTTTACTTTACATTATGTAATGGTGCATAAGAACAGAAGTAAGTTCTCAGCCCATTGTGCCTATTCTACTATTCAATTAGATCATGTTTGGTTGTACATCAACTTCATCTACCCACCTTAGCTCCATAGCCCTAAAAGGCATACTGCAGTTGCTTGGGTCTCTGAGTATGAGATACAGCTTCCTTCAGGTTGACAGAGCCCCAGCAGTAGTTCACATCTCCCATGTCACTCAAGTCTTGTTTATAAAGGCCTCAACTTTCTCAGCTTTGACCTGGATGAGGCCAGTCAAACGTATAGACCTGTTAGTCATGCTTACCCCACAGGTTTTCCACAGACCCAGGATGACGTCTTTGTCAGACATTTTCTGGGCATTTGACACTGTGAGGGTCCCTGTCAAAGACTGCCCCAAGTCAATCTGTGCAGGGGCAGGCTCTATCCTGTATGGACAGGTGGCAGCCTTTGCGACAATGTTTGAGGTGGGGGGCACAAGTATTGAGAGCTGAAACAGCTTTTTGAAAAGCACGAGTTTCCATCAGTCTTTTCCCTTTGTTCCCTCTGAGGACCTGCCTGCATTTCTCTGCTGACCAAAAGCAGAAGAGCACAACTGCCAAGGTGGAAACGGACAGCCAAATAGTGCAGGCCATTGAGGTGGATCAGCATGAACTTGACGGCCTAGTGAGAATGGCTACTCTTTCAGTGGAGGTGATGATTGGTGCGAATAGCTTGGACAACACAGACGTAAAGCTAGAAAAGGACTCCTCACTCCTCTGTGTTCTGTGCAAGGGCACGGACTGTCTCTGAAAATTCTGACAGAAGCACATGCATTTTCCACCATGCTGCATGAGTTACATTAGTGTACATCCCCTGAGGCTCAGTATTTGTATCCAGCTGAGCAGAGTTTGGACTCACACAAGTGCCATTGAGAGTCTTCGTGGGATCTCTTCAAATTGAGACCCCTCATTAGCTGGATCATCCTGTCCACCCTCCCAGACTGGACAGAGAATTTGGAGGAGGATGAGCAAAGATGCACAAATATTTTCATCAGGCTTCTAATACGAAGCTGCTTTGGCATGAACTGAATTCATAAGATTCTGTCTGGAGCATCCATTTTGATGGCCTGAGATTCATTTTTTTTTTGAGATATTGAAAAAAGACCTCACATTGTTGTGGTGCTTTTTCCAACCTCAGGATATCTCAAAATGCTTGGCAGCCTTTGCAGTATTTTTGAAGTGTTGTTATTGTTGAAATGTAGAAACAGCGCGGACTCTCAATCAGCATGACCATACAACAGGGATATAGAACAAGGGATGATTATTGATCAGGATAGAATCATAGAATTTTTATAGTGCAAAACACATTCAACTCTTTGTGTCTGCACTGGCTGTCTGAGCATTTTGGTTTAGTGCCAATTTCCTGCCCTCTCCCTGTCATCCTGCACAATGTTTGCATTTAAGTAATCACCTAGTGCCTCCTAAATGCCTCAGTTGGACCTACCTCCACCACACATAAAAGTAGTGCAAGTATTTCTTTTGCAAAACATTTTGAATCTGTCTCTCTGGTCTTGATCTCCTTACAAGCGGGAATGATTTTTCCTGATGTATTCTGCCCAGACCCCACATCAAACTTCTATCAGCTGTCCTTTAAGCCTTCTGCTATCTGAGTAAAAATAGACCCACTCTCTCTGATCTATCGTCAAGGCTGAAGTTTCTCATTCCTGGAATCATTCTCGTAAATGTTTCCATACTCTGTCCTCATTTGTCTCATTCCTGAAATGCAATGCCCTGAACTGCACCCAATACTCCATTTGAGGTCTCACTCCAGTCCTATATAAGTTCAATATAGCGGAAGAGTTATCCTGTTGCACTTAGAATAATGCCAAAGGATCTTTAACATACACTGGAAAGGATAATATATACTTCAGTGTTTTATTCAAATTAAGGAATATAGAACTAAAGTAAGTGACTGGAATGAAGACACATTAATCATGACTGATTGTCACAGCTGCCTTTTGAATGCTGAATAAAACATGGAAAACAGGAGCAGAATTAGGCCTTTTGGACTTTTGAGCCTGCCCCACCATTCAGTATGATCATGGTTGAACATCCAAGTCGGTATCCTGTTCCCACTTTTTCCATTTTACACTTTGATCCCTTTAACCCGAAAATCTATCTTGGCCTCCTTCTTGGAAACATCCATATTATGGTCTCAACTGCCTTCTGTGCCAAAGAATTCCACAGACTCATCACTGCGAGAGGCTGAATAGGATCAAAGTGTAAAATGGAAAAAGTGGGAACAGGTTACCGACTTGGATGTTCAACCATGATCATACTGAATGGTGGGGCAGGCTCAAAAGTCCAAAAGGTTATTTTCCCTGGAGTGTTGGAGGTAAACTTATAGAAGTTTATGAAATCATGAGGGACATGGATAGGGTGAATAGCCAAGGTCTCTATCCGAGGGTAGGGGAGTCCAAAACTAGATGGCATAGGTTTAAGGTGAGAGGGGAGAGATTTGAAAGGGACCTGAGGGGCAACTTCTTCACACAGAGGGTGGTACATGTATGGAATAAACTTCCAGAGGTAGCGATAGAGGCTGGTACAATTACAACATTTAAAAGGCATCTGGATGGGTATATGAATAGGAAGGGTTTAGAGGAATATGAGCCAAATGCTGGCAAATGAGACTAGATTAATTTAGGATATCTGGTTGGTGCAGACAAATTGGACCAAAGGGTCTGTTTCTGTGCTGTATGACTCTATGACTCTGGGTGAAGAATGGCTTCATTTTATGCATTGTTTATTTCTCCAATCTCTTTATTCCATAACTTTTCAAACAAATTACTCTTAAATCATTGATAACATTGAATTCTCACTAGAAACTAACCAAAATGGCTTTGATGATTGACAGGCTTGCATTGTAGATGCACCCAAAACAATATCAAGCCTGATCTGTGAGCAATAAATAGGGATTCAATTTTAACTGGATTGGCCCCAACAATTCAATCATTTCCCATCGTGATTATGTTGCTAGAAGAGTCAAACCCAGGACTGACTTATTTTTCAATGCCCTATTTTATTTGCAGGATTCCAGAATGTCTATGGGTTATCATACCCATGGCACTGTTTATGTAGAATTAAAGAGAAATCCCAGGACAAGTTCCTTAACCAAAAATGATTCCATTATTCAAAACATCTGATGTCATTGGGCTATTTATGATTTTGGAAAGCTCAATGTGCTGAGGTTAACCTGGAACTGACATCATCTGCTTCTGGCCATTTCAAATATATGTTTCCACAGTTAAATCTGTCCTCTTTAAATCTGGCCACTCAATTGGCTGGCACAGTTTGAATTTGTTGTTGTATTGGATTGTTAGTTCACCTGGCTACACGTGTAGAGGAATTCATCTCCCTGTTGATCTAATCCTTCTTTCCCCTTGTATACAGGAATTGTGAGGCTTGTCCTGTCGTTATATTCTGCAACTCAGCTGAAGGACATGATTCAGACTGTCCCAGACTCAGTGGCTCATATTAAAGTAAGTCAGTAAGATACATTTCTGTTAAGTTATTGCCTGTGAATGGGAGTTGAGAATATGGGAGTTGTTATGGAGCCATTCTGGTGCTGATTAATTATTTACATGTGTATTTCTCAGTAAAGCCCTGCAAAATGTTGAAACATGTGACAATTGATATTTGCCAATCTGACGCTAGCTCCAGTGTCTTCCGTTGTCCTATTGCTTCCAGCTTACAAAGAGACAAAAGGAAAAAAAAAGACTTGCATTTACATAGCAGCTTTCACATCTACAGGATGTTTCAAAATACTTGGCAACCAGTGAAACAATGCTAAAGTGTAATCCCATGTTATGCTGGAAACATAACTAATTTGCACACAGCAAACTCCCACAAACAGAAATGTGATAATGACGAGATAACATTAATTTCATATTAACAAGGGATAAATAATGACTGGTGCATCAGGATTAACTCCCTTGTTGTTCTTCGAAATATTGCCCTGGGATCCCTTATATCTGCGTGAAAGGGAGCTTTGGTTAATATCAAATTCAAAAGACAGCATCTCTGACCATGCAGCACTCCTACAGTACTCCTCTCGAATACTAACCTCGATTATTGCACTCAAGTGGAACTTGAGCTCGCATCTTTCTGATTGAGATGTGAGCATGCTATCAACTAAGTCAAGGCCAAAACCTAAATAGAACCATGAAGAGAGTCAGGGATTATAGTAACTTATGTGCTTGACTGGATTAGTTGGTGATTACAGAACAGAGACCCACATTAACTGTGAAAGCCTTATTTTTAACCTTTAGAATCTACACACCTCAACTAGTGTAACTTAGCTTGCTATTAAAGTTGTGTTCAATAAACACCCCTATGTTATGAGGAGAAACTATAAAGATTTCTACTTCTGATCTCTGTCTATTGATTTTACTGGATAGTGTGTGTGCATGTGAGTTTGTCTGTGTGAGTGTGTCTCTGTGTTTGGCCCTATAAGGTCTCTGTATGTACGTGTATGAGACTGATAGAATCAGATAGCTGAGGTGGTGTGTTCTATTGAGATTTACTGTATAGACTCCATAAATGAAGGAAGGCTACTTGATGAAGCATCAAAGGCTAAGCAACATACCTTCAGTGCTGTTTGATGATGCTTTTGTGAAGTAACCTGGAGATGTTTTATTCTGTTAGTGAAACTATATCAATGTAAAATGATGTTGTAGCTGAGCTGCTTAATCTTTAAGACAGGAGGGAGGAAGTTGGGCAAATGAAATATGAAGAAAAGAGTAGAGTTTTGCAGATAACATACTTACTGCCAAATCAAAATGGGCACTCAGTAGTTATAGTTTATGAGCAGGCTGTGACCATTTCTGAGTTCAAGCAATTAAGAGCCTGTGACAAGTGATCTCAGCTACACAGAGGCACAAACAAGAGATGAAGAGTTTCCATTGAGGTACAAAAAGAGTGAGAATCACAGTTGATCATCTCAATTTCGTAATTGTAGTTTCAGATTGTAGTCTTAGGAAATGGACTTTTATTGACAATCTTCATTAACCAATGGCTCCCTTAACAAGGTGATAGAACATTTAAAAAAAAGGAACAGAAGTAGGTTATTCATCCCTAGATGCCTGTTCCACCATTAAATAGATCCTCTTTCCATCTCTCCATCTATTTGCTTTAATTTTGTAGCCCGCACATCATTGTTAGAATAACCATCATATGAAAGTGAGTATGACCATTCAATTGATGGAACCAGACCAAAAGGATTGTAGCAGTTCAAGAAGGCAGCTCACCAAAACCTTCTCAAGTGAAGCTAGGGGCAGGCAATAAATGTAGGCCAGCCAGCAACTCCCAAATCCCAGCAACAAATAAAAAGAAAGACAGTGGGCAATGTTTAGGATGTAAAATGCTGCTGCTTCTTGATACAAGTTATGAAAGAGGAACAAAACATGAGCAATTTTCCAGCAAGAGAAACTTATTTCTATTTAGCGCCAGACATGTACTAAAATCTGGCAAGGTTGCTAATCCTTCAGCGAAGGCACTGTCATAGGTTCATGAAGGATGCACAACATAACTTCTGTCACTGGTATGCCACCCTCCCCTAAAGAGATTAAAAATGATATACAATCATCCCTTCCAACCTCACCATTTAAATTATAACTAAATATAATGGGCGAAAGAGTGACTCATAGACAACTTCAATGCTATTTGTACAACCTTTGGAACTTCATTCATTGCTGAAACTAAATCCCTTAATTTAGAATTTGGCCTGCTAATCTTGGAGATTATTATCGCACCTCCTATGTACAAACCTCAGTTCTACAATAACATGGTTATATTTCAGAGAAAGTCCAATCTTCCGCTACGCTTCTGTGGGAAAGGCACCTTAATATTGGATCCAACATTTTTGCCATCTTTCAGCTGTTCAGTTTTTCCATTAAGGAGTGCAGCTTCATTAACATATGGAAATGCTGGCCGCTTCCTAACCCACCTCTGTTGAAACTGGGTGGACGTGTTCCAAGCAGATCGAAGGATTCAGAATTTTGGAATTACCCTGTCGAATTCCCATGAAAGAGTGACAGGGAAATGTAATAAGAATGGGCTAAGCATTCATGTGATGGTACTTGGCATTTGTAGACTATTAAGGAATTTTGTGTTCCATGCAGAGCAGTCAGCATGGCTGATTCTTTTGACTTACAACTTATTGCTTTTGCATCATTTTGTAAATTTATGTGATTCATGGCAAGCTGAATCCCTGTGAATCATAAAATTATTATTGTAGGCAGGTTAAACAGAGCAGGTCACCAGGAAAAGGAAGGTCCTTTAATTAATTAGAAAGCAACCAAACATCAGGTAAAGCTGCTAGATCCTAAGAACAGTTGTTATGTGAGGTAACAGGATATGCACAAGTTATGTTTGTTCCTGCCTTTTGAGGCAGGGCAGGAGCATGTGTTTAGAGATTGATAGTAGAGATATAAAGATGAAAGAGAATTTTGGAGTTTGGTTTTGGAAATCAGTGTTTATGCAGAGAAGCTTCTCAAGATTTTAAGAGTGTTAGAGATAGGATAGATTGCGAATGACCTTTAGATCAGTGAGGAGAGAACGTAGTAGGACAATTAGCCTTTTATAATTTCATGCTTTCTTCTATTACATTGATGGTATATTTTTTTTCTCTACTGCAATGCACAGACAGTAATGGCAAGAAAGCTTGGACTGCATGAAAAAGAGTTCTGATTGCTAAATATTTGGCTTCATGTTTTTAAAAAATGACTGCGCTTCTGCAGTTTGAAGCATGTGGTTTCCAAGTGTCAGGCCTGGAATTTTAAAGTGGAAAAGTAAATTATGGATTAGAACAGCCCCTGATGCAAGCAAGGTTCTTCTTGGCAAATTGATCTTGATCTGTGCGGTGATTGACTTCAGATTAAATGGACATATGTGTCTTTGCATGCGTGTGTGCAGTGAAAGAATGGGGCAAATGGTTTTCTTTTAAGCAGCAGCTTTATACTCAATACGTAATGCCTTTTTTTTTAACATTGTACACTGAGCAGTTAGACTTACATTATTAAATTGATTTAAAGGGTTTTTGGCAGTGTGAGGATAGCAAGATCTGACTCGCTAAAAGTTAGAACAGGGCAGAGGACAACAGCTAAAAATGCATGCATTATTTTTCAATGATTTTTTGTTTCACGTTTGAGACTTATTAAGATGTGCTCTTTCATCATGCTCCTTCACTTTGAATTCCCTTTTATTTTCTATTTTCTTTCTCAATCAATCGCTCACCCTATTATCCACACCATTTCTTTTACAAACAACACTCCATCTACCCTTTCCTCTTTTATATTTCCATTTTGTCTCCTCCTTCTCTGCCATTGCCTACCTTTCTAGAAGACTTTCCTCCTTCTCCCTTCCTCTTCTTGCTCTCTTCCTCATTCATTCACCCTTTCTCTATCTGCCATGATCCGTTTCTTTCCCCATTGCATTCCATCTCCGTCTATTCCTTTCTTTTTTCTTCCCATTCTTCCTGCTCCAACTTAGGAAACCCTCTTCAAACGGAGGGTAAGGAGAAACTGGCAGGAATTTCAGTATCCAGCAGAGATAGATGTAAGATAATTAGTAAAAGAACCAGATGAGGGATGAGGAGATTTTTTTTCCAGTGACCATGGCGGCTCAGTGGTTAGCGCTGCCGCCTCATGGTGCCAGGGACCGAGATTCGATTCCAGCCTTGGGTGACTATCTGTGTTGAGTTTGCACATTCTCCCCATGTTAATGTGGTCTTCCTCTGGGTGCTCTGGTTTCCTCCCACAGTCCAAAGACATCCAGGTTATTTGGATTGACCATGCTAAATTGCACCGTCGTGTCCAAGGATGTGCAGGGCTCGGTGGATTAGCCATGGGAAATGCAGGGTTACAGGGATAGGGTAGGTGGGAGGGTTTGAGTGGGATGCTCTTCAGAGGGTCAGTGCAGAGTTGATGAGCCAAGTGTAGAGATTCTATGATTTAATAAACTTGCAGCGAGTTGCTCTGATTCATAATGCACTGCCTGAATGAATGGTAGAAGCAGATTCAATGATAATTTTCAGAAATGAATTGAATAAATAGTTGGTGGGGACAAAACAAAAATGCAAGGTACTGAGGAAAAATGCAGGGCAGTCATGTATGGAAAAGATACAACACAGTCAAAACAAACTGAGTGGTCTATTTCATCTCTGCATGAATCTATCTATCTCCTTTCTACTGACACCTGAAAATAATCTTCGCCCGTTCTGGTTGCTGCTGTTTCTCTACTGCATTGTGTGACACTTTAACCAGACTTGTTGCATTCTCTCATGTGCCACATACTCTTGTCTGAGTCTTTTAATTGGAAACAGAGTCTGCACATGGACAGCTTCGGAAGGTATTGTATGTAGATGATATTGGTCAAGCATTCAGGCAAGAAGAAAATAATTGAAACAAAAATAAACCTGAGATTCTGACTTATAAAACTTTCTGAATTAGTTACAATTTACAAATGAGAACAACATGCAAAG